AATGCATTGAAAGCTTGGTTTACATGCAATACGGGTGAGAGAGCGCCAGAGTTTGCCATTCATTTGGGCTCTAAATTAAGACCACAACTAATTAATTATTATTTATGTAAACAATAAAACAGGAGATGAGAGAGCGATTCAGGATAAACAAATTGGTCACAACTATGTCGACCCCCAAACTGGCATTAGAATTGTGAGTCTCATTAATCACTTTTAATATTCTACATTTCAGTGTTTAACTCAGGGCTCAATTATGTCACATACAAGTGCTGTTACGGAACAGCGATATAATAGTGTTCCGAGTCTTACTCTATTGTTATATGAATTATATATAAGTTTTTTGTGTAAAAACCACTTTCTTTATAGATTGAAGTCGATTTGGAAGTGACTCGAAACGACATCGACGAACACGCGAAGGCTGGTTACACCACTCCATACCAGTGCTGGTGTAATGCCTACGGCGGCCACACATCCATTGTCAGCCGTCGCGCATCCATCCTCTTCTCATGTAAATATTGATTAATAACATTTTATTAATAAATTTGTTTTCATAAGAACTCAATAATAGTATCGACGGATAAGAGATATAATGCATATATAAGTGCCTAATGTTTAGAAAGTGAGTTCACGCAAAAACAATACACAACCTCTGGTTTTGTGCAGTGTTTCTGGGGTTTCATATCCAGTGGAGAAGAGAGTCGTATAAACTGAACTTCCAGTTCACTATTAACTTAACTTTACTTTACTATTCTTTTGCTGCTTTTTGTGATGTGCTTTATATGCTCTTTATATTCACTTTTTATAGGCTTTAATTTCCTTTAAAGTGACTGAAATACTAGTGTTGAATGACATTCCTGTGAGTCGACTGTCTGTACAATACCAGTAAATTGTAGTCAAATGTAGTAAACGTCTAACGAACTAACCATCCGAACGGAGTTTTAGCAGTTCTTTATAACGAGTTTATATAAAACATGAATAGAGAGTACAGTATATATAATATAATAATTGGGAACTTTTCTCATTTCATTAATTGCAGTCTTTTGTTATAAACTTAATGTTTTTTGATATTCTTTTTATCGGCAAATCTTTTTGTTCATATTTTTCGCTGCAAATGCTAGGAATGGGAGACACATCCTATTGTCTTGAGTTTGTATCTCTTTTGTATGATTGCAGCGTTTCGTATGAATCGGTTTATATACCATATAAGGGATAGGCTTTGAAGCGCTGGCAGTGATGGCAGAGCCCGAAAAGGCAGAGAACCACTACTATAGCCGTCAATCAATTATAACGTCAAATGCAGATATAACTCAATGCACTTAATATAATTGATTTTTGCCGCTCTCTCTCTCTCTCTCTCTCTCTCTCTCACTCATTCATTCATTCACTATCCCATTCATATACCCGTATATCCTGTTAATCCCAATGACTGACTAAATCCACAGTAAATCCCATAAGCGTTAGCATTATATCCGAGAAGAGTGTTTTGTCGGCCGGACGTAAAGTAGAGATTGTTTGTCAAACAACAGGTAATTAATTATCTCTGCTGTAGTTACACGGACTAAATACCATGTTTATAATTGAATAAAAATATTAATTAACAATATAATTTACACCTACAACGTGCATGATAGGCTCAAAGCCACCCGCAGTGCTCATATGGTTTAAAAACAATAAACAATTAACTCATTCACAGTAAGTATTGTATAATTTTTAAACAAATATTGATCTAATTGTAAGACAAAAATTTAAAAATCTTAATTATTTTCAGGGAAAGTGTGTCATCCGATGGCAACACTACCACAAGTGTACTGAATCTGATGCCCACCGTTGCCGATGACGGAGCCTTATTGACGTGTAGGGCACAGAATCTGAGACTACAGGCGCCCCATAAGTATATGGAGGACGGATGGGAACTCCAAGTCTATTGTATGTATTTTTGCCCATTATTAATAAGAATATTCTGTACAATATTTAACGCATAGAATATAATAATAATCATCATAATAATAAATAAAACAAATTCCGTTGCTTTCAATGCAATATCAGTTTATTATCGTTAGTAAGATATATAATAAACCATTAATTCTGTGCAAATTTTTTATTATTAAGTTCAGCGAGAATATAGGGATTGCCAGTAAAGTTGCGTAATTAGAAAATCTATTTTAAATATGACACTTTAAATTTAATTCAAACAAATAATCATATATATTTTTAAAAATAGTAAAGTTTTTAATATAATAAATTTAATCTAAGAATTCTGGTTGGTAACATAAAATTCCCTGCCCCCTCTAAACCGAGACCAACGTGGTTAACGTTTAAGCCAGTGATATAAATATCAAAAATTGTTTTTTACGCCTATGTATATGTATGGCACAAGTGATGAATGGCATCGAGCGTTTTGCTCTCCGACCGAAATACAATACACTAGTGTTTAATAAAACTAAAAACGTTATAAATCTTTACCCCGAAAAAAGTGAGATAATGAAAGTCATTACACTTTTTTTTCTTTATTCACTTTTGTTGTCGTTATTCACTTTGCAAAGAATTTCTTAACCAAAATAAAAACTAAAAAATCTAACAAAAAAGTGGTTTAATTTATTACAAGTAATGGATTAATAGAAATCTACTGTATAGCACCTTCAGCTCTGACATCTCCAGATTTAACAGGGTTAATTTTGCACAATATGCTGTTCATTTATTATTATTTATTTATTACGGTTTGTAATATAATGCTTGTTTCAACATATTTATAAATTCAATTATTACTTTTA